TCAACAAAAAGCTCACAATTGAGTAGAAACAGATATACACAAATAGCTACTCATTAAAACTATGATCTGCTCAAAGAGCTGTGGTAATAGAAGAGAGGTGAAAATGGGAAGATGAAAGGTGAAATAGGAAGAAAATGGAAGGTTACCTCACAGTAAAACAGGTCATGTCCAGGTACTGGCTGAAAACAACACAGAATCCCCAATGTTCTTTTTTAAAATAAAGTGCTCGAAAGAGGATACCAATAGACAATTTACAAATAAATACAACACAATGCTAACATGGCTAAAAAAGAAGACTATGAAAGAAGAGATTAGTCAACTATGTAACAGCCCCTTATACTAATACAGAGAACAGAAAGAAAAAAATCATAATCTCATAACGTCTAAAAGTTAATTCTCTAGCAATTTGTGTGTTGTTTCCTCACAAACCTAGTGAGCCTTTACAACCACACCAAACAAGAAAAAGTGTACAAGAAAAGCTTTTCTTACTATGAATTCACCCTAGTTATCTTCTCCCAGGACAGGCAAGTGGCCTTCATGGGGTCTTAAACTTCTTAGCTCTCATCTCAGTTCCATTAGAGCCCACTGCTGCTATTTCCTATATTTTTTATTTCCTTCAGTCACAGTATCATGTTTCTGAGCTGAAGCGGGAACAAGGTTGTAAAAAGATTAAGCTGGAAAGCAGAGAAAGAGAATTCCAACTTTTTTCAGAACTAAATTTAGCGGATAGGATTTGTTTTTCTATAATGTGTGCAAAGTACTTACCTTACTTTAAGATAATTATGAGGCAAGTAAATCACAAAATAGCAAGACTTACAAAAAATTAGATTAAAAAGACAAACCAATATACAGAAAATAAAGCTATTGAGAAGAGAGGCTATAAAGGGCAGAAGTAAAAACACTTGGAGATAGGTTGCATGAAGGAGAAACAGGGTTATATCAAAGAAAAAGAAAACAGATTCGTCCCCAAAAAGCAGCAGTTATGGGTGCAAAATATAAATTTTTTATGTGTTTCTTTCCAAAGAAAGCAATAATATGGTTGCTTGAAATTAGTTTCCGAGATGAAGAGAAAAATATTTTTCAGACCATCAACATAACCATGGGAGAGTATCAAATATTAAAGACTTTCATGACAAAGACTTCGAGAGATGAAGAATTTAGTGAGAAATAAACAGCCATCATAAAACATCTGTAACTCAACAGTACCTTCAAGTTTAGTCTGGCCATCACAACTCTCTAGTAATATATACTGAACAGAAAGCTGTATCATAAAAACACAGGGAAGAAGATGCATTATGAGCTACGGCTATCTCTACCTCTTGGACCCATCCAGGTCCTGGCAGCAGCTAGCAAAACCCTATGGGGGTTAAAGTCCACCCCATACCCAAGATCAAAAACTACTCCCACCCCACCTTGGCTCAATGGTTTTCTCCCACTGTGGTGAGGGTGGTTTTGGAAAAGCTCCTCAAATGCCAGGAAACACTGTAATACAAAAAGAAAAAAACAATTCATAAGTACCAAAACTTAACTAACATTTTGGCCACTCTCTCAAGGAAAACTGGTATAGTAGAAAAAGCTCTAATCTAGAAACCAAGAAAGCGAAGTATTGTGTTCATTCAGTATTCATTCTAAAATGTTTGCTGTACTCCAGATGACTTGGTTGAGGGGTAGGAGGGAGTGGAGCAATACTTTTTGCTAATGGCTACTAACCTAGCAGACTACAAGCCAGAAACTGTTGATGGCCATCTCTGCCTCTAATTAGGCTGAAAAATGAAGCCATAAGAGAAGTTAACAGAACTAAAAAGAGACATTCCTGAAGATAAAATTTAAGAACCAGACTCCGGTTTTTTCCTGCAGATAGTTTCTCCCTTAAATTGGTCTATAAAGGGTTTCTGTGACTTGCAAGGAAATTGGTCAAATTCTACACTGAACCTGAGTCAAATCATTCCTCATTTATTGCCCTTAGTTTCTTCTTCTAACAAATGGGCTAGAGCAAAGGTTTCCAAAACCTTTTTTAAAGCAATGGAACTTGTTTTTTAACCCTTTGCACTCCGCTGTCCCCTCTCAGGGGACATCGGAATTCTAGCATATCACTCGGATGTCCCCTCTCAGGGGACATTGCAATTTATTAGTGATTACAGGGAACTGAGGTTATTTCAACGCAACTTTTTGAGACATGCATGTTTCCCTGAAGTTTTATCTTGAAATGGCACAAGAAATTAAATCAAAATATCGTAAAATGGTTCAGAGTGCAAAGGGTTAAATACATATCTTATTTTGATATAAAAAATAAAATCCTTCATGTAAATTGATTTTATAACATCAAATTGAAAACATTTACTTGACCAGAACTAGTAAGAGCAATACGTATTCAAGTCTCACCTTAAGACTGAAAATAAAAACTATTCATCAGTATATATGTACTCTGTAAGATCAAAGGTATGGCCAAAATCAACAAGAACAATGATATTTTGATAAAAATAAAACTTTAAAGTCAGAGGCCAATGGTAGAAGTTGAAAGCTTTTTATTTGTGTGTGTGTGTCTTGTTTTGATTGTTCATTAGTAAGACAATCCTGACTCAAAAAAAATAACTACAAGAAGTATCATATGTTTTCTACACCTGTTCTATCCTGCACTATTTAATCAAAGATGGAGAAAAGCTTTATGTTCTACACAGAAAATATGACAGCACAAGTTTTTCTAAAGACATCTCTGGGTTAAAATTTACTACAATATGGGCCTCCCCGGTGGCGCAGCGATTGAGCGCTGGGTTGCGAAGCTGTCCGCAGCCTCTGTAGCACCGGTTCGATCCCCGGCTGCTCCCCGGCCACCGGAGGAGGGTCCCGCATGGCGCGCAGACCTCTCCTGCCGCCCGCTGCTCCCCTCAGCAGTGTACTTTGGTCCTTCTGCCTGCTCTGCTCCCCGCTCTGGCTCTGGTGAATTCTCTCACCCTCCCACGCTTCTGACTGTACCCAGGCTTGTATAAATAAATAAATAAATCTTTAAAAAAAAAATTTACTACAATATGGGCAAGCATTCATGTATGCTGGTTTTGGATTTTTTTAATGATTCAAACCTCATTTGAAAACTAAACCAAGTGTTTACTAAATCCAACTGGTGTCTTCATCCTCTAATAATACAGTCTCCAAATCTTTTAGGAATATTTTTAGTCAACTCATATACATTCACTGCCTTTAGGATATTATAATGAAACAAATATAAAAAGTTACAATTCTGAAAGATTTCGCTACTTCCTATCCATTAGCTGGGGAGTTCTGAACATGGGCAAATAATATTGGGTTGTCGGAAAAGTCATGATATGTTTTTTCTATACGCAAAAATGTGTCAGGACTTTTCTGACAATCCAATAAATTGGGTCAAATAAGAATACTTTAATAATCTATTCAATTTTATTGAATCTATTCAATCTTATTAAGAATCAATTCATAAAAGGTGCTATAAAAATATTATCCATAAGAATGCCAGTTTTAAAAGATACAAATACTCTCCACATCTAACCTCAAGATGTTAACAGTCTAGCAAAAAATACAACATACTCATTCATTCAACAACATTGTTTCCTCAGCGGCACTATCCATTGTGTAAGCAATTTGGATTAAAAAGTAAACAAGACACAAATGGTCCCTACCCTCATATATTTAGACTTTAACCTATAATATTAGCAGTAGAAAACCAATGAAGAGTTTTAAACAAAGAGAATATAATTACATTTTTCTTTTGAAAGACTGCTTACTAGTATGTGAATGTTACTATAAATTGGGGGTACCAATTAGAAATTACTATAACAATAACAAAATAACAGGAACTTAAAAAACAGCAAATTTAGGTGAGGTGTGGGAATAGGAAAGCAACACTGGTTGTAGTTCAATCTTAAAAGACAAGGAATGGCCAGACAAGTAGAGGAAGGGAGTTGATGTAATAAGAGAAGTCTACATGAAAGACATATTTGAAAAATATCAATCATTTCTTACAGTAGGTCTTAAGTGAGGAAAATCATAGCTAGTCAGGCAGATCAAGGAAAAGGAAATTTTATAATAAAGAAAAATCTCTAGGATACCCAGGAGTACATTTAAGCAGGGTGCTAATAATATGACCAGGGTTACATTTTAAAGATTTTTCCAGAGATAGCCCAAAGAAAATGACACAAAGTCTAACCACCCAACAAGAATGCATGCCTGCTAATAATAAACACACTGTCTCAAAGTCCTAATCTAATAATTTATCAAGATAATCCAAAAAAAAAAACCAAAACCAACAAAAAAACCCAGTCCAAACAAGTAAGCTGAGCTTCAGCTACCAAGTAACCAGTACTAAATTCAGGCCACACTGCAGTTGACATGGCCATTAAACAAAATAAGGGACGTCTCTATAGATAAAGTACTAAAAACATACCAGTGGCTGGAGATAAATGGAATAGAGGGGGAAAACAGCAACTTAAAAAAAAAGGGGCGGGGGAGTAACAGAAAGTTATTTTTTCTATATTCTTGGGGGGAGGAGGGGGAGAGAAATAAGCTAACAGAAAAATCATATTTCAGAGTAAGAATTACTTCTACTTGTTACCAATTACACACAGATCCATCTCATGTGTAATAATTAATAAACTGCAGTTTCTGATAAACAGTTCAAAAACCAAATTTAACTTAGCACACAACACTTAAGAAGATAACCAAACAAAAACTAGAAACAACAAGCTGTAAGAGGACCAGTTCTACAACAGCTAGCTTCTCACCACTTCAAAAGAAAGCTATCCTGCCTGACTGATCCATGAAGCATACCAACTACAATAAAATGGCAGTGGGCAAGGCGGATAGGAAGAGAGTAGACTGTATCACAAAAGTTCCTGACCAATGAACTAGGTAAATTCTTAAATGCTCTCATTCCAGTTAGTTTTCTTTATATAACAGATATGGCTCAATATCAATCATGACAACAGATATAATGAAGAAACCAAACATTTTTATCTTAAAATAAATCCTACCTTTCCGGGGTCATCCTTGGATCGAGGCACTTTAAGGAAACACTTGTTCAGTGACAGATTATGTCGTATGGAATTCTGAAATTAAAGAAAAAAACCCACAGGGTCACTGGAATCCAAAAAACAAAACCCACCTTTAAAAACAGAATCAGAAACCTAGATATTTCTATGCACTAGAATGCATTAACAAATGGAATAAGCTTTTAAAATGAGCTTTAAGTTTTTATCTTTTTGATTTTCAAGTTATGAATACTGCAAGAGTAGTAGTTATACAGGAATAATTCCAAATGAGTTTTCTAAAACTCCCAAAATTGGAATATACTGATTATTTTTAAATGCAATATGACCATCTAATGGTACAGGAAGAAAGCTATGATTAATGTTAAATATCAAATGCTAAATATAAAACTGTATGTTTGTGATGTTTATTTATATATCTATTCTTGAAAGTAAGAACACAAAATACTAAAAATTATTCTACATAAAATTATAGGTGATGATGTTCTTCCTTTGTCCTTTTTTGCAATATTCAAATGATCTGCAAGGCATTACAAAGCACATAGAAGATAATTTGGGTCTCTCTACAAACTGTCAAAAAGAAAAAAACCAAATGGGAAGACATTGGCTTAACAGGGTTAGTAATAACATCCAGGTTTCTCAATGTAGCAGGAAAGAACAGCCAACTTAGATGGCAGGAAAATGTACCTAGAGAATCTGAAGCATGAAATCTTTTCATGAGCAAGCAGTATTGTGTCAATTTTTACAGAAAATACCCAAAGATCATTTTTTCTTAAAGAAATACTCCAAAGTCCAGTCTATAATTTTGTTCCAAAATGGCCAGGTATCTGGCAGAAAGGAGTTCCATCTGCATGCAGCCACTACTTAGAATTTTGTGGGGGAGCATTGGTATAATGTCTATTGTAGCTTTTAATATAAAATTCAGAACTAGATTAAAACTTTCCTCTCATGGAACAATACCTGGATTAAAGAAGTTTTAAAAAGACAACAGAACATAAATTAAAACCTATCTTATTTGCCAAAAGAGCAGTATGAAACTTATGACAGTTCCACCTGCGCATGGGATGTAAACAGCTACAAAAGATGATGATCTCTGCCAAACAAGGAGAAAACAAAAGATTAATCAAAAAAATCATACCAGTTTTGAGTTGCATCAGAGAAGTGAGGTTGCAAGGCAACCCAACAAATTAAATTCTTAAGAGGGGACAGGAGAAAGGGGACATACAAACTGTTTGATCTCTGGCAGAACATGGGAGAAAGAAGAGACTACCATTCAAGCAGTCAAGAACTCTGCTAAGGGGCCTCCCCGGTGGCGCAGCGATTGAGCGCTGGGTTGCAAAGCTGCCCGCAGCCTCTGCAGCGCAGTTCAATCCCGGCTGCTCCCCGGCCACCGGAGGAGGGTCCGGCATGGCGCGCAGACCTCTCCTGCTGCCCGCTGCAGTGTACTTCGGTCTTTGTTCTGCTCCCGCCTCTGGCTCTGGTGAATTCTCTCACCCTCCCAAACTCTTTTTTTTTTTTTTTTTTTTTTATTTTATTTTTTTTTAATATTAAATTTTATTTTTATATTCCCCCATACAATTGCAAACGCCCCATTCTAACCCCAATCCTTCCCCACCCGCCCCCCAACCCCCAACAAGTGTCTCTGGTTCATAGTTTTTTGTTGATTTTGATTTTCACTTTCTTATATTCATTTTCCTGGTCCCTTATTTAAGTTTTCTAGATTCCTGCTATGAGTGAGACCATCCGGTATTTTTCTTTTTGGCTTATTTCGCTGAGCATGATCCCTTCCAGTGCCATCCATGTTGCTGCAAATTGCATGTGTTTATCTTTTTTGAATGCTGAGTAATATTCCATGGTATATATGTACCACATCTTCTTGATCCAGTCATCTATTTTTGGGCATTTGTCACCCTCCCAAACTTCTGACTGTACCCAGTGCTTGTATAAATAAATTAATTAAAAAAAAAAAAACTTAAAAAAAAAAAGAACTCTGCTAAACTTTGAAAGGCCCAGCATGGGACTATGAGTCACCTTAGAGTCCCAGACACATGGAAAGTTACCATTCTTCTTCAGCCTTACAAATTTAAAAACTCGAGTTTGAGAGAGGGACAGTAAAACCTCTCACCCACAGGATGCTGGCAAAGAGTGCTTCTGAGGGAAGAATGGAAATAAACCCTTCTAACTTTTTTTAAGATTTATTTATGCATACAAGAGCTGAGGTGCAGGCCAGAGATGCAAGCAGAACAGGCAGATCTAATGAAATACACTACTGAGGGGAGCAATGGACGAGTCAGGAGAGGTCTGCTGCACCATGTGGGTCACCTCCCTGGCCAGGGATTGAACTCCTGTTGCCTTGGCTGCGGATAGCTTCACAGTGCTGCATCTTAACCCCTGGCACCACCTAGAAGGGTGGGAATTTTAACTCTTAAGAAGAGACAGGAAATCCTTTCCCAGGACACAGGCAAAAAATCTACCACTAATGAAAGGGAGAAACAAAATTCCTTTATGTCTAGGACAAACAACAGAAATTACCTTGGGCCCAAGATTTACACTGATCAGCTATAGACAGGAGAAAGGAAGGAAACTCCCATCCAAAAGCAGCTACAGATACACGATTAAGTAGACCAAGGGAAAGAGACACTGAGAAAGCCCCAACCACAAGTCCAGAGGCCTAAATAACAAGCAAATATAGTCTCCTGATAGAGGGGGCAGGAGCACTTAAGGCCCTTTGTGCTATTTAAAACTCTATAAATCTAAAATTCTTTAAAAATAAAATGCTTAAAAAACTTGGATGATAAAAACAGTACTAAATGCAATATTACCTTATTTTTTGCCTTAGATTCACTATCAACTTACCTGAACTGTGCATATTAACTTCCAGTGAAAATTATGTTATTTCTGTTATTACTTTTTGCTAGTCGTTCCTATAATACAACTAAGCACTATCAAACTGATATTCTATAAAATATAAAGCTACTTGCCTAAACAAAAAAATTTCCTATTTGACACCCTAAAAATGACTAGTAACCAGAATTTCATCTTTTTTTTTTTAAAGATGTATTTATTTATACAAGAACCGGGGTACAGGCCAGATGTGCAGAAGGGTGAGAAGATTCACAAGAGACAGAGTGGAGAACAGAACAGGCAGACTGACAGAAGACACTACTGAGGGGAGCAGTGGGTGAGACAAGAGAGGTCTTCTGCACCATTTGGGTTTCTCCCCAGCTGGCCAGGACCAAACCTGCACTGCAGAAGCTGCGGACAGCTTCACAGTGCGGCACTCAGGCACCTGCGCCACCAGGGAGGCCCCCAGAATTTCATCTTTAATTATGTAAGCCTCTACAAAGCTTTAAAGTCAATAGGATATTTTTAGTGCATAAAAGTAGTAATTCAAATGAAATTCTTACCTTCCAACCACTGCCAGCCTCTCTATAGTATGGGAAGTTATCACAAATCCACTGGTAAATCTCACTTAGAGTCATTTTCTTTTTGGGTGAGCTATTAATTGCAAATGTAATGAGGCTGGCATAACTGTATGGAGGTTTCCCATCTTTATGCTGTTGGACTTCTTCCTGGTCCAGAGTTGTATTCGGGTCAAGAAGTGCGTTCTTCTTAGAAATTCCTGTTCCATGTGCATTCTGTGAAGCATCAGATTTTTGGATGGCTGCTCTCATGGTAAGCTGTGGTAACCAGTCCATAGATGTTAGGCTGCTCTCCAGTTCAGATGTCATCCTGAAGGTAAATAGACTCCTTAGTCAGTATCAAGGAAAGAACCCCTGCGTCTCAAAATATCCAATATTCACAAATCTAGGAGTTCCAAAGTGAGGGAAAGCCTGAGTTAAATCTGGAGGAAAAAGATTTGAGTATGTTAATGACCAAACCAAAAATTTAAGGGATCAATATTTCCAATCTTTTTTCTTAATTTTTTCCTCTCCAAAACATAAATTTGGCTTTAAAATGTTTAAGATACAGAATGATACATACAAAGTGAGTCCAATATCAATCTTTCTGAAAGCGACTATCAGTCCCTTTAAAGAGGGCTTGAAAAGCTCAGTTTGCAGACCAGTTCTTTAATCACCAATATCACAAGTCTTGTAAAAAGTTAAAATGGAAAATAGCATTTCATTTTCACTTATTTTAGGGGAATCATACCAACAAAAGAACACTAAAAGTAAAGAGGAAGCAAGAGGTTAAAGAAGTAACTAAGAAACAGGCACAGGAATTTTCATGAAGGAAAGAAGGCAGTTGAGCAGGTGGGAGGTAGGAAGAGTGAAGCAGGGTAGACAAGAATAGCAAGGAGACAAGCTAGCTGGGGGAGTTGACCGACAAGAGGAATGCAAACTCAAGGACACAAATGAACAAGAGAAAAGGAGGCTAGGCAGTACCAGGCAATTAAAAAAGGCATACACACGTACATACACACTTACACTTGTGTGTGTGCAGCAACAGGTCAAAGAACTAGCTTAAGAAAAATAACTAAAGATCTAGGATATGAGAGAGTAAATCATATAAATTGGACAGCAAGAAAAGCAGCATTAAAAAGCTCAAGGACAGGCTTAGGCAAACTTACAGTGATCTGGATTCTATAATGTATTTCTCAACAATGCTGAAAAATTTGTACCATTACCACCCAAAGAAAGAAGAATGAAAAACAAAATCTACCAAGTTAACACATATTCTGGAGAAGGGAAGAAGCTTCTCTGAGAACTGAAAATAAAAATGTAGAAACAAAGCTTGACATTTCACACTGGAAATAACTTTTCAACAAACGGTACAACTCTTTCTATTCTGAGAACAAAGAAGCAGGAACAATGACCATGACAATAAAGTAGAGAAGAAAGAAATACTTCTAAAGTGATATCAAAATAAAGGGAAAAAAGAAAACAAAACGAGAAATTTTTTTAAAGATTTATTTATGCATAAAAGAGCTGGGGTACAGGCCAGAGGTGCGGGGGAAGAGGGGGCAGGAGGGGCGGGGAGATGAGAGGATTCACCAGAGAACAGAGTGGGGAGCAGAACAGGAGGACTGACTGAAATACACGGCTGTGGGGAGCAGTGGGCAAGACAGGAGAGGTCTGCTGTGCCATGTGGGTCACAAAATGAGAAATTTAGGGCCTCCCTGGTGGCACAAGGGGTTAAGATGCAACCTATGAAGCAATCCACAGCCTCTGCAGCACAAATTCGATCCCCAGCAGGCCAGGGAGCAGCCCACATGGCGCAGCAGACCTCTCCTATCTTGCCTGCTGCTCCCCTTAGCGCCTCTGGCCTGTACCCCAGTTCTTGTATGCATAAATAAATCTTTTTTAAAAATGAAAAATTTTAAAGTACCTTAGTTGAAAGGAAAAATCTGTGGCTAAAATCTCTAAAATCTTACACAGGTTCCTTAGCTCAAATGGCTGTATGCAAAAAGAAACCTGGAATATGTGCTTAAGAGCTGAGCTTCTAGGGCCTCCCTGGTGGAGCAAGCGGTTAAGCACCGCACTGTGAAACTATCCTCAGCCTCTGCAGCACAAGTTCAAAACCTGGCCTGCCAGGGGGCTGACCCATATGGCACAGCAGACCTCTCCTGTCTTGCCCACTGCTCCATTGAGCAGTATATTTCAGTCAGGTTGCCTGTTCTGTTCCCCACTCTGTCTCTGTAACCCAGTTCTTGTTTCCATAAATAAATAATCTCAAAAAAAAAAAAAAAAAAAAGCTGAGGGCCTCCCTGGTGGCTCAGCAATTGAGTGCTGGGTTGCGTGCTGGGTTGCGAAGCTGCCCACAGCCTCTGCAGCACCGGTTCGATCCCTGGCCGCCAGGCGAGGATCCCACATGGTGCGCAGACCTCTCCTGCCGCCCGCTGCTCCCCTCAGGTGTACTTTGGTCCTTCTGCCTGTTCTGCTCCCTGCTCTGGCTCTGGTGAATTCTCTCACCCTCCCGCGCTTCTGACTGTACCCATTGCTTGTATAAATAATAAATAAAACTTTGGAAAAAAAAAAAAGCTGAACTTCTAGGTGATGAAGAACACAGAATCTCAAGTTAAGCAGACCAGAGTTCAAATACTTATTTTACCATTTACTAGCAGTGGACTATGAAAATGTTAATTAATGTCTCTAAATCCCAGCTTTCTCTTCTGTAAAATGAAACAATAATGGTATCTAAAGTTAATTTATTACTTTGAGAATTAAATGTGATAGCATAACACAGAACAAACACTCAGTGTTAGTTAATACTATTACTCCAAGTGTATCTTGGAATGGTACCAATCCACTGTAAAGTAAACCAGATTAGCAACAGCAATTATAAATCAAGAGACAGTCATGAGGATTCTACCTGCATTGCCAGTAGTCCTATTATCTTCTTTTTTAGTTATTTTTACCCACAATTTTATCTTTCTCATTTTCTCAAATTCCCTCCATCTCTATTATATGCATTCCTCTGAAACCAAATTCCTCTGCATAACACCTTACAGATATAAACAACTTGTCATACTGCTCACAATCTCAGTTAGAAATGCTTGTTCCCAGCATGAAATAAATTATAAGAAATAAATTATAAGAAGGAAGACAATGTAATTTAGAGATCACACATGTCAACAGAATGAGCAAGTACCTGAGAGATTATAGACTAATCCCTTCAACCTGAAGATGAAAAACTATGGACTACTGAAGTTAAAGACTTGCCAAAATTCTCACAGGGTAGTTAGCAGCAGAACTAAAGTCAAAGTCTAGATTTCCTGATGCCCAGTCCAGTAGTTTTTTTTTTACCATATCTCATTTGCAAAGTAAGGACTAATAATAGGACCAACCTTACTAATGGAAAGTACTCAAAACAGTGGCAGGCAAATAATATGTATTCAACAAACATTAGCTACTAGTGATGGTAGTAATGATAATGGTAGTTGTACTGCTATTATTCAAATTTCATTCAATAAATGTTGGCTATTATTATACCATGCTATCATCCTCAATCAAATCTGAGTAGCTTGATTTTGTTCACATTCCCAAACCAGTCAGTCCTATACACTTACAAATTTAACATAAAAGCATGTGCCGAATTGAAATGTAATTGATATTGCAGATGCATCCTATGTAGAACCATCTTTAACTTGTTTCCTTCCACCAATGCCACTGTTTGAGACTTAATGAGTCTCAGTTAATATAAACACACAGTTAAGTTGGTATTTAGTATGCGTTAAAAATTTAATAAGAATCTATAATTACACGTACGTGCATGGTTATAACAGAGCAAGATTTTATACACACATGCACACAAACAATGATAAAATTCCTGTCCTCCAAGAACTGATGCTCCATTTAGGAAAGTCCAACACAACTCAGTAAGAGTGCAAAGCTGAGCTCTGGATGCTGTAAAGGCTCAGAAAAGGAAGAGGACAACATAGACTTCAGCCTTAAGAGACAAAAGCAAGAATTTCAGCTAAGACTAAAAGAAAGTTAAGATTCAAACAGATTGGGAAGAAAATGGTTCCAAATCATCAAAGACATCATGGGTAAGAATTATTCCATTGTTACATGTATTTTCACCAGTTCTGCTAAAGCAGGTTTGAAGTACACTATAAAACATCTCCCTTCAATTTAAATTTTGAAAAAGTGGGGCTTCTGTGGGTTTGGATTTTGTTTGTTTTGCAAGTTATTAAATTTTATATATTCTTCTTAGTGAGATAAAATATGTCTCCATTGTTGGTACTTAGACTGGCCACTGAAGTCCTCCACTAAGCACTGAGAACACATAAAAAATGACCATTAGATTTAGCCATATCATCATTAACTTTAGAATGAAATCTGTAAGTGGAATGGTGATGATAGGAGTCCACTTGTATTAGAGAACAGATGTGACAAATTTAAGTCTGGAAGTCTGGAAGTCTCTGAGGAATCTGGTTATGGAAATCTGGTTAAGAAATGCCAGGCCCTCATTACCTCACCTAATACCAAAAGGTTCCTAGCCAGCCTCCTAGACAGACTAAGCACCTCCAGAGTCCATGCACACACTCCAAGAGAAATCTGTCAGCAACGTTTTCTTACCATTGTACCCTGAAACCTTCAATAGTTGCCTTTCTCCTACGGTACTCAATCTAAACTCATTTTCAACTACTTTTAGCTTTCACTAATCTTTCATTAATCAGTAATTCCTAATACAATTATAACTCACTTTGCCATTTACTATGTGGTTTCATACATATAATTGCTTCATATGCTTAAGCTTTCTACCTTCACTCTCTCTCATTCCACCGTCTACCCCTTTCCCCACCCATCCCAAACCCCCACTCCCACACTGAGGATAGTAATCATGCACTAATAGTTCAGGTGCTACCTAACACCATGCCAACTATATATTAGCTAAACAAATCACACAGTGTTTTGATAAGAAATACTCTGCCCAGTTGGCTTCTACTTTTATTCCAAGATTTACACCAAACATCTATCCCTCCAGAAAGCCTGGTCAAACCATTCTTTCCAGTTTCCATCTCCTAAACTGAACTAGATCCTGCTTCCACCATAAAATATAAATATCTCTACCATAAATCCACAAAGAATTATAATTATCTTTTTCTCCCTTCCATGAGACCACGAATTCCTTCAATGAAGGAACTTTTGTTTTTTTCCTCTCTTCCTAATGCCTCAGAACACAGTGAGTAAATGGTGGTCAATAAATTTAAAATAATGACTACCCAAAAAAGGTATCAGCGTGCATCTCCCCAAACAAGAAAGACCATACACATTGAAAAGCTAAAAAGAGTTGACTAAGAGAAGACTCAATAGCAACAGGTAAGGATAGCACAGGATCCTTTAGTCCTTTAATTACTGGAAAAAAGGATGACTCAAGGAGCACAGACTGACAAGCACTACAGAATCCATATAGAGACAGTTCTATTGGAATAGCAGAGAAAACAGGATGATGAAAGCAAAGATAAAAAGATAATGTTATTTGTGGGAGAAAGGAAGGCACGGAAAACTTATGCCTCATATTTCTTAAATCTATGATGGTACTTGTTAATTAAAAGTAAGTTCCAGGGGGCACAAAATGCATTAAAACTAAAGGTAAAATGCATTAACAAAAATGACTTAACACAAAGTCATAACATGGGGGTAGTGAGAGGATTCTATTACCACTTTATAAAACACTGCCACTGAGAAAATCCAAAATATGCTTTTTAGCTACTTTAGGACATTGCTTGGTTTCCCTTTGTAACTTCCCTAACTACCGAGCAGTAGGCAAGGCTTACTCAGAAAGTTTTCAAGTTTCAAGTATCAAAAAGGGGGGAAATGAATAATGATACTGTGGCTCCTTAAATGGAAGTAGGACAATAAGGAAAATAATAAGGATAATGAAGTTATGATCAAGATATTCCGGAGTCCTCCCTCTTCATTCCTGGCACTTGGCATTTCACCCCAAGACCCAGAAAACATGGGAAAGTATTCTAATTATGTACATTTC